ATAAGGGAGGGGCCCGGGGAGGCTTTGGGGGCTCCGTCCCGGGCAGAGCTCCCGTCGCTTTCCTTTGGAGCGCGGTGGCCCCGGGGTGAGGAGGGGGCAGGGGCAGCCCCGGGAAGGGGCACACGCGGGCTGCAGAGCTGCTGGCTGGGAACCAGGTGTCCTGAAAGAACTTCCTCACCTGCTGACCACCCCCCCAGAGTGTCCAAGCGAAGGTTTCTGATGGGAAGCGTAAGCAAGGATTTTAGGTTTCACTGTGAAGTTAATCTTACATTTGCTTTGAATATTAGTAATTAAATATAGCTGACTCAATGGTGTTCTCAGTATTGTGTTTACAGACATTAATATCTTTTGTGTGCCTGGTGACCTCATCTGGAACACAGTTCGCACTTCTGGACTCCTCAGTGCAGGACAGATGTTTAAGAGCAGGAAGGAAATCAAAGTAGATTAATGAAAGTGGCTGGGAATAGAAAGGTTTATTTTAAAGAAAATAATAAAGAAGACAAATGAGCAGATAAATGAATTGCAGTGATAAAGGAGAGGCAATGAACATGCTTACAGCTGCGAGCATTGGCAAGGTATAAAATCCACAGGAACAAAAGGAATAGTTTAATGTTATGCATCGTTGTTAACTGTTACTACGAGGAGGAGGTTGTTGTCTGCATTATCACACAGAGCCTGTTGATTTATCTGCTGGTGGCCATGATTCCCTGGGTTTCTGGTGGCAGGGCCGAGGGTTCAGAAGGAGCGCATGCAGGGGTGTCTGACTGCAGCTATGTTACCATGCAGGTAGTTTTCTGGGAGGAAAAAAATTTTTCAACAGTTTGCTTGGTTATCAAAATCAGTTGTTACGAGTGAAAAATGTGTTATTACTGTTAGTGTATTGAGAGGGTGGTATGTGATGGAGCAAGTATAAATCCGTTGGTTTGGGCAGATTTGCAAACATCCTGGGGAATGAGCTGCAGGGCTGTGATGGCTGGGGCTGGAAACGGGCTGGAAGCGTGTCTGAGGCCCCTAACGCAGCCCCTGCCAACCCAGGCCCGAGGGGCAGGAGCACACTATGGGCTGGACATCGTGTCCAGAGGGACCAGACGTGGTCCCAGGGTGGGTTGCGCTGGGGTGCAGGGCGCAGCATGAGAGTGGCAGCGCTTGTGTTTCTGAAATACTCGCTGCTTACAGGGGTGAGGACTCGGGCTGTTCACTGAGGGTGGTTTTCACTGTCGTATTTGCTGGCCCGTGTGCCATCTGGTAGCATCTGCAAAGCAAGAAAGTGTTGTGTGTTATGTCGGGGGTCACTGGGTGTGCATTTTCTCCAGCAGAAGTCTGAAGCTTTCAAGTGTGATGCATCAGACAGACAAAAACAAGCTAATTTTAACAGCTGTTTGCTCCAAGCCATTGCCTGCATCAAGGAAGCATTGTGAAAAACAACATTCTCATACGGACTGTAAACCGTAAGGCAATGTAAATTTTCCCCATGTCTCCTAGGAGGTTATATTTGTTCCGTGCCACTCCAGCTGACGTTGGGATGTTCCGGCTACCAGAGCTGCAGGGCATGTCCTTAGCTTGCTGTCAGATGGCTTTTCTTGGTCTGTAGCAGTGCTCGGGCAGAACCTCTTCTTGCGGAGGGGAATTTTGTGATTAACTTTGGGGCGCTCAGTCCAGCAAACCTCCCCCCAAAGTGAAATCCTGTGATATGGGAACTGTGGGCATCAGGTGGTGTCCAGCCTGGCCAGCGGCCGCAGCCTCGCTGTCTCTGTTTCACCGCTGTCAGCAGACCGGTGGGAGTTTGTTCCCGTCTTCGTGGGAATGCATCTGCCTCCTCTACATCCAAACAGCCATTTAGGAGCACGGCTTCTGGAAACCCTGCAGGCAGGGGGGAGCTGGACTATTTCTCATCTATATGCACCCAACGAGAAGAGTATGATGTTTTCTCTTTGGTAAACAAATGTTACCAGCACTGTGTTGTCTGTTTTCTTTGGAAGGAAAACCCCTGCTGGGGTTATATCAGAGGCTGTTATGAAACTGCTGCTGGCACAAATTATTGATGCTCACTTAGGAAGCAGCAGTGTAGGTCTGTGGTCTGCTTTGATTTTTCAGTGAGT